TACAGAAATTGGCGGAAAAGGGAGATCGTTAGGTTGGGCATGCGTGTGGCCGTGAAGAGAGAGAGAAAAGTCGCTGAACGGAAAAAAAAAACAAAAGAAAAGAAAAGAAAGAAAGAAAAGAACAAAACAGACCAAAACAGAACAGAACAGAGATCAGTAATATTTTTTCATCAACACAAACTTGGGAACTCGAAATCGGGGGCCGGATCCACTGCCATTCGCTCGGGAGGGAACTGCCGGGCTCCTTCGGCCAATGACGGGGCGGGATAACAGAACTTCTACGCACACGCACACGCACACGCACACGCACACATATATTCACATCCACATCCATATCCATCCATCCATCAGTCCACCCCACCCCCCCACACATATATACATACATATATATTTTTAGGTAGATGTTTGTGTGTGTGTGTAATATGTATTTATGTAAACACACACACACACACACCTGTATTTATATATATATGCTCACAGACAAACAGACAGAGACAGACAGATGTATAATGTGATTGATGTGATACAGAATACGTGTACTACAATTTGTTGGGAAAATATTTTACTAAAAGCTTTTATACATGAGATCTGTTTAGTTAATAGTATTATTGTTTCATGAAATATATCAATTTATTTATTTTCTACTCAATGTTGATGTTACAATCTGTCTGTTCTCATTCTAACCACGACAAAGCAACAAACCAGAAATTCACCTCCTCGAGGAAATTGGCCAATAGGAACGTAGATAAAAGAGTTATTTCCAAAGAGTTAAGAATATTAAGATAATTAAAGAACGATTTTAAGAGAGTAAAGTGTTCGTCACGAATGGTTAGTGGATCGGGCCTCTTAAGGAGCATCGTCAGATACGGTAGAAACACGCGAAATATATAGTAGATCTCTAGTGCAATAACTGTTTATTTTATGAATGGTTGAGAAAAAAAAATAATAAAGATTTTTTTTATGCGAAAATCAAGGCAGCGATTTAGTTATTTAAGAAGTTTGGAACATCTCAAAGTTTAAAGAAAAAAATAAAACTTTTGTAATGCAAACCAGGGTTACTGCCAATGCTGCCATCACATGTGCATTACTTTTGTGTTAAAAGACATACGTGAGAATACGATAGTTAACAAATAACTTGTTTGTTTTATTTCAAATATCCTTTTGAATCCATTTAAATGATAAGAAAAAAGGAAGAAGTCAGCTGATAAATAAGGGCTTGAAGAAATAAACAGGAAATATGCGGAATGATGAGGAAAAAGAAATAATGGTAATAATGGCAAAAAAAAAAAAAAAAAAAGGCGTACACGACACACGGCAGATACACACAAAAAACGTACATAGATATGTAAACTTGCATATATATGAACATATATGTGTACATTTATGCATATATCGACACATGTGCATACAGCATACATACATAAGTACTTGTGTGCATGTATACATGTCTATCAATATTTATTGAAATGCATAGATGAATAAATGTGTATATGAATGAATGAATTATATTTATCTATACATGCATATATATATATATATATATATATATATATATATATATATATATATATATATATAATATTATAATTATAATATTATTTATGTATATATTATATTACATATATGTATATATATTATATTACCTATGTATATATATTTTACAGATATTTTCGAATAGAAAATTGTTGTAAATGTGTAGGAAGAGTGTCAATTAACGGCTGGCATTAAAAGGGCCTCAAAGTCTTTAACATCACAACGCAAATTTCAACGCACTGATGGAGATAATTCTGTAGCAGGAATTGATCTGAGAAATTTATGTTCATTGTCAAATTTGCTTTCACCTTTTCGTATATTTTCCCCGATTTTTATTGACGTTCTTCGGGACTGTCTTGACCTGTCTTTACTTTTGTCCCTGTGAGACGCGGACATCCAGAACGCACTTCGTCAGATTTGAAGGTTAATCGGCACTGGGAAGAACAGGGAGTGCTTGGAGGCCTCGTTTGACTTTAAAAAAATGTTAATTGGTTTTCTACAGTTTTCTGCAATAGTCTACTTGGGAAATTACAAATAGCGATTTTATGACATGAAATAACAACGAAGTGGCGCTATGTGACATTAAATATACTAAATGTATGATGTTATCACCATAATGTAAGTAGGATTAATACAATAAACCAAACTGTATTATCACAATAGCTAATTGGCACAGGGTCTATTACAATGTAAATGCTTGTTCTAATAAGCACCTCCATCTTTAAACCATGGCAACAGCGCAGATGAAATACGAAAGCGCAAAGGGCAGTCATAGATTTTTCGCGAAAACCGCCCCGAGGTGTTGCAGGTGAAGGCGCAACGGGGACTGGAGTGGAAGCGCTCAACCACGGGGGATTGGGAAGGGCGTTCCATATGTGTGTGTGTGTGTGTGTGTGTGTGTGTGTGTGTGCGTGTGTGTGAATGTGTATGTAAGTAAATATATTTATATGTATGAATGTATAAAGCGATGTATGTATGTATGCCTGTATATATATATAGCGCACGCGCGGCAAAACACACACACACACACACACACACACACACACACACACACACACACACACACACACACACTCACACGCACTCACACGCACACACACGCACACACACACACACACACACACACACACACACACACACACTCACACTCACACTCACACACACACCACACACACACACACACACACACACACACACACACACACACACACACACACACTCACACACTCACACTCACACTCACACACACTCACACTCACACACACTCACACTCAAACAAACACACACACATTATATAGATAATATAGATAATATCTCTATATATCTATATATAATATCAATATAATATGCATATACTATATAACACACACACATGTTTATATATGTACAGAGAGAGAAAGAGACACAGAGACAAAGACAGACAGAGAAAGAGACAGACAGACAGACAGACAGACAGACAGACAGACAGAAACCCAGACAGAGAGTGAGCTTGAACACATGGGAGTGTGTACGCATTAGTGTGAAAGGTTTTGAGTGTCCATCCGCATGCATATAACCCTTGAACGGGAATGCCAACATATTCGCACGTACATCCATTAGCGCCATCTGCTTTGAAGACAGTCATCTGCTCTTTTCTCTTGTCTTTATCCCTCACTTTATTTTTGTTTGATCTTTTTGAATTGCTCACTTTTTTATAATGCATGTTCTCTATTTTACGATTTCTCTATTATACACTCTCTTTATTTAGTTTTTTTTTTTATTTTTATTTTACGCTTTCTTTATTTTACGTTTTCTCTTTTTTACGTTTATTCTATTTTACGCTTTCTTTACTTTACGTTTTCTCTTACATTTTCACTTTTACGTTTTCTCTATTATACACTTTCTTTGTTTTTATTTTACGTTTTCTATATTTTACGCTTTCTTTATTTTACATCTTCTCTGTTTTACATTTTCTTTTTTACGTTTTCTCTTTTAAACACCTTCTTTATTTCATGTTTTCTCTATTTTACGTGTTACACATGACATACCAGCAACACCAGCCACAGAATTTCGAAACCTGGCCTGAAATTACCGTTATAGAATCTTTATTACATCTGATTGATAATTATTGAGATGTTTCCCTACACAAGGAGAAGGATTTCGATGTTTCTGTAATGTTATGTAATGTTATTTGTACCTTGATACGTGGTGGAGGGTTGGGATAGATATTGTATTTTTTAATGGAAATACAAGGGTTTCTTAAAAAATACAATCTCTAGATAAAATCCAGGGAATTAGATGTGATTCTGTGTTATTGATGTGTATCTACAATATAACGTACGGTGGAAATTGTTATTTTTTTTCTATGGGTGTTGTAAGTTGATGGACACTTTCAATGGCGGTTGTCTCGTTTCGAAAATTCTGTCAGACGGCATCAGTTTTTATTATTTTTTATTGTTTTTTATTTATCTATTTATTTATTTTTTTTTATCAAATGGGACGTTTTGGTCTCAAAGTGCAGGTCGAATCGTGGTTTTCGTCTTTGTTGACCTCCTCCCATTATTGAAATGTCTCGAAAAGGATCAATTTGAAATCTCCATGATAGATTTACCTGTCAGTGATTGTAAAAGAGATAAAGAAGAAAGGGGGTACGAGAAACCCCTCCACCCCCCCCCCAAAAAAAAAAAAAAAAAAATAAAAAAAAATAAAATGAGGAACATATAGACGACCCTTCTGTGTGCGTCTGTTATGTCTACCTATTTAGTAAAAAACGAAGAAGAAGCCTCCCCCCTCACAAAAAAAAAAAAAAGAACACAGACATACAGACTCTGTGCACTTGTTATGTCTACCTATTTTGTAAAAAACGAAGAAAAAGAAGAGAGAAAAATATCGCGTTTTCGCTTGTTTCCCTGTTATTCAGTTTTTTTTTTTTTTTGCCAAATTTTCAAAGTATTCGCGAGAGGAAGTCGTCCATCGGGGGAAGACGAAAGGGTTGAAGAACAGACCGATGTGTCTCGGAAGTTAGAAGAAAAATGTCTCCTTTGATATAATACTTTCATGATGAAAGCACACACGCCCACACACACAGAAACAAACAAACAACACACACACAACACACACACATACATACAATAACAAACAACACACACACACAAACAACACACACACACATAATCGACACCTACACAGAAACAAACAAACAACACACACACATAATCGACACACACAAAACAAGCAACACACACACAACAAACAAAACAAATACACACACCTCACCCCCTTAGCCTTTACTCTCACAAACAGAAAGTAAGATTAGATAAGAAAAAATTGCTTGAGATTTCTTAGAATTTGTTGCCACCGGGAAGGCCTTGCGCTGCAGTGTATCTTTTAATGAATTTGTTGATAATTTGAGTATTTTTTTGTTTTTGTGTAATCTTGTGATTTCGTTTTTGTGTAATCTTGTGATTTCCTTCTTCCTCTTCGTCCTC